AAACACAAGTGTATTCTTGGGAGTGCAACTGTGGTCTAGACAAAACAGCTACAGCCAAGGAGGGGGTGTTTCTAAGAGTGTAAGTGGGGCCGTGAGGGCTGGGGGTAGTTATTGTTGGGTATGAGGCTTGATGGGGAAGCTGATCTTTTAAAACTTGAACAAATATTTCCATTTTTTTTTTAGAGTAGTGGTTCTCAACCTGTGGATCAAGATTCCATTGTGGAGGTGAAACGGCTGTTTCACAGGGGCCACCTAAGACCATCTGCACACCAGATATTTACATTACAATTCCCAAAGTAGCAAAATTACAGTTTTGAAGTAGCAACGAAAATAATTTTATGGTTGGGGGTCACCACAACACGAGGAACTGTGCGAAATGGTCGCGGCACTATGAAGGTTGAGAATCACTGTTTTAGAGGGGGAAGAAAATATATGAGAATTTCTCCAACCCAAAGACACACTCTCAAGTTTGAAGAAAAAAAAAACAACTTACAGTATGGCCAGAGTTAGCAAAGCAAGCAAAAACCAAAAGAACATCCAGCAAAATGTGAGTTTCAAAAGAGCAGATCGATGTCTTTTAGGAGAATTGTGTCCTAAATACTGAAGATGTTACTCACAGTTTATCTGAAGTTCAGATTTAATGAGCATTCTCCATTTTATCCAACAACCCCATTGTTCATTAGATCCACACCAAGGCCAGAGCCAGGACAGGGAGATCCTGACACTTACGTAAAGCAGCAAGTCCTCATGGAAAGAAATCAGAAAAAGCATCAACTTTTCTCAAGGCAAGATGAGGAGATAGGAAACAGGAGTATGGTGTCTTCAAAACTGTAAGGAAAAACAACATCCATCCTGGAATTGCACATCCATAGTCACACATGAAGCTTGATAACAGAATAAAGGCATCTGGCATGCCAAGTTCAAAACTGGACACTCACTTGTCATTTCTTAGAATATGGTGCACAGTCCGCCTCATTCAAACAAAAGCAAAGCAAGACTGAAGCACAGAGTCCAGGAAAACAAAAGCCCAATGTAGAGAAAAGGAAAGTGAATTCTCAAGATAACGGCTATGCTGAGACAGAGCAAAAGCAGACAAGTTAGAGTGGGAGGGTGGAAGGTTCCAGAATGGAAGACCGCAGTGGTGGGGGACCAATAGAGAGCCTGCTTGGAAAATGATACAGAGGGGTTTTCCAACTGTGTCAGAGAGCCCGGAAAGAACCATAAATATGAACGCAGGAAATTAATCAGGTGAAGAAAATGAGGCAATTATTAACAAAGTGTTTACAAGAGATTAAACAAACATTATCATAATGCACTGCTCGGCAATGTGGAAAATAATACTTGATGGTGATAATGACATAAACGCCAATCTAAACAAAACATTAAGTGAGGGCAGAAAGCATTCGCCAGGCGCGTGGCTGCATCCTCAAAGACAAGAGCCGACGTCCTATGGCTCAAAGACCATAGGCTAACCCACACCGCCCTCCATGGTCTCGCCCCACTTTATGACCCTGACGTCCTCCCTTTTGGTGCCCCCACCTCACTCATTTTGCTCTGCAGAGAAGGCTCCCTGGCAGCTCTTGTCCCCAGTTACACCATGTCCTCCTGACTCGGGGCTTTTGTGCTGCTGTGTGTGCCCTTTGCATAGACACCCTCCCGCACAGATCCTTAGGGCTCACAGAGCCAACCCAGCAGGTCTTTGCTGAGACACCCTCTTCTAGACAAGCCCTCCAACTCCTTATGTAACACCGATTCTTCTCCGACACTCCCTACAGCACTGTGACTGGCATTTACTTATTTGTAGCCTTCTGCACTCAGCATAACACCACTATAAGAGTGTATTATGTCATAGTATATATATACATATAGTGAGATGTCGTAGTAATATATATTAGCTACGCTTCCTGTTACTGTAACCAAGTCCCTAGGAGAAGCAAGTGACGGGAGCCACAGTTTCTTCTGGTTTACAGTTCAGCAGGATGCAGGTCATGTTGGTCTCATGAAGTCTGGAGGCAGGAGTTGGTCACATTTTATCCACAGCCAGGAAGCAGAGAATGGACAGGAAGTAGAACAGGAACCAGTATGGTTATTTTAATCATGGACTTTGTTGTAGTTGAATGTACATGAGGTCCATGTACTAAGGGATTAGATGACAAGGCGGCACTGGCTGGGAGCGGGGGCTGTAGGTCTTTAGGGGTCTAGCGGGAGTCCCTCAGGTTCTTGAGGGCTTACTCTCGACGGGGACACTGTGACCATACTTACCCTCCTCTGCTTCCTGGCACTAGGTGAGCAGGTTTGCTCCACCATACACTACCACCACAGGCGCTGCTTCACCCCAGGCACTAAGCAACAGCAAGGAATCAGACCAGAACTTCTGAAACTGAGTCGGGAAGAACTGGCTTACTTTATGAATTTGCTGTCTCAGACATTTGTTATGGTGACAGAGATAACCCAGACTCCCAGCCTCTAGAAGTGTTGGAACACAAAATCCTGTTGGTGATGTTACCAATCTGTGGCAGTGGGCAATACAGCCTGGCAACGTGTGACTTGAGCAAGTGCGAGGCCTTCCCTGCATCTGGGGAAAAGATACAAAGGTCACAGGTCACTGGAAGGGAAAGAGAAAAGACCACACTGTCCAGACAGGGACGTGTTGATGAGTGCATTGACATCAGCGAGGAGGCATAGAGTCAGGCCAGAGGGTACAGAAATTCTGGGATGGCAAACCAAGACCAGGTACACTGAATAAAACACAGGATTCCCAGCTCCACTTGATCTCCAGGCAATTCTACAAAATTTGGGAACTTAAAAAAATGCTTTGTGTCTATCTATATGTATGTGCATGTGAGTGTGGATTGCAGACACACACATGTCACAATGTGTGTGGACTATCTCATGTATCAGTTCTTGCCTTCTGTGTTGTTTTCCACTGCAGATGCCAAGAGCCCTGGCCTTGAACTTCCAGGGATTCTTAGGACTCCATCTTGAATCTCACCATAAGGGAGCTGGGATTACAAGCACACAATGCCATGTCCAGCTTTATGTGGGAATTGGAAATCTGAACTATCTCCCAAGCTTTGTAAATTCTTATGCTGAGAATGAACTCATCATTCATGACAGACCGAAATGAAGCTGTGAGTCTGTTGCTTTCTCTGGCATCTATCCAACACAAGTGCAATATTCTAGGGATGATTTAGTACACACACCTAAGTTTTTAAGGCATAAGAAATCTTCAGTACAGCAATCCTCCCCTCAGATATTTAGTCACAAGAGATAAATGTGTAAAAATGGTGATAGTTGTCGGTATATTGATTCTAGTCATAAAAGAAACACATTTTGAGAAGAATGGTTAAATAGTATAGCATTTCTGTCCAAATGTATACAGCCTTAAAACTGAAATCTTATAGTCTGTATTTATGTTAATTCTAATTCTATAAACTTCATCATAAAAATTGGAAATAGAAATCATCTGTATCTATTAACATGAAAATATGTTTAGAATATAGAGAGCGTAAAATGATGATAACTTCAGGTTTTGTTTACTAACTGTGCCAAACATACACACATGCGTGCAA